TGTTTGCTTAGTACGAAATAGTGCAATAAGGGGACTTTAGTAAAGCGCCGCTTTAAACCGTTAAAAGCGGCTTGTACTCTATTAGTCTATTTAAACTCTCTAGTCGGGTTGGCCTTGGTTTTAGTAAGCTTAGTTAGTAGCATTACATGCCTCGAATAGCCCTTAATAAATCGGCGATAGAAGTTAGCAAAACCGAGGAACGACTATAGCTCCTTAATTAACGTAGGAATAGGCTATTTAGTAATGGTTTTAATCCGATTAGGATTAGCCCTAACACCCTTAGTTGATATAAGGAAGCCAAGGAATAACACCTCTTTAGTAGCAAAGGTGCATTTAGAAGGCTTATAATACAAGCTATAGGTTCTTAGACGATCGAGCACCTTATAGACTATAGCCTAGTACTCCGCAATGTCGGGTAAGTATATATAAACTAGGATGTTATCTAGGTAAACTATATAGAGGTAATCTAATAGGCCTAATAGGGCCCGATTGATATAGGACTAGAATATAGTAGGGGCATTAGCTAGCCTAAATAGTATAACTAAGTACTTAAAATAGCTATAACGAGTGCGAAAGGCTGTCTTCTATTTATCGCCCTTACGGATGCGGATGCGATAGTATACATCCTTAATGTCTAATATAGTATAGTAGTAGGCACTAGAAAGGCGATCGAGAGTCTTATTAATAAGCGGAAGTAGACAGCGGTCTTTAATAGTAACAGCATTAAGTCTACGGTAATTAACACATAGGCGCAGGCTACTATCCTTCTTTAGTACGAATAGGATAGGGGCACTAGTAGGGCTGTTACTATACCGTATCCGGCTATTAGCTAGGTTTTCCTCTAGATACTTACGCAATATAGCAAGCTCTCGTTTACTAAGGTTGTAGAGGGGGCTAAAAGGAACCTCTTTACCCTCTATAATATCAATCTTATAATCCGTCTCTTTAAATATAGGCAATGTCGATGCTAAGTAGTGTTTAAACACATTAATATAGGTCTCTCGAATAGGCTCTAGTATGCGAGCAAGCTAATTAGGGTCTATGCTATTAGGGGGCACAGGTTCATCGTTATTACTACTAAGCAGGTCGGTAGTTAGATTAGCTAAGGCGGAGGCTAGTGTTAGGTTGCTAATAAACAGGACCCTAATATCGTTAGGACACTCGCTAATGTCGATGTGTTTAATATCCTCCTTCCTAGCGATTCTAAATCGCTATTATTAACTGCCTAAGTCTATAACTACAGCATAGTACTTAAGAACAGGGTTACTAATAACAATGTCGGATAGGAGGCTGTCTATGTCTACCGCGTAGGCAGTAAAGTTTAGTAGGCGTTTATTTCCGAGGTCGTCTTTTAGAACTATAGGAACATAGTAGGCCCTATAGGTTAAGTGCCGAGCGTTATTAAACTAAGCAAGGGTTAGTAGGTTAGTCTTCGGCAGTTATCGAAGGTCTAATTGCTTAGCTAAGCGATAGTTAATAAGGGCGCTAACTGAATTTCCGGGGTCTAGTATAACCTTTGCCTTATAGTTAGTATCGCGCCTAGATATAAGACAGGTACATATAATAGCTAGCACAATGTCGATAGTCTTACGCCGTATAAGGCTAATAGTTAGTGCGGCGCTTATTCTTTTTTCGAATAGTTAGAAGGGCTAATAGGGGTAGCATTAGCGGCTAAGAGGTACTTTCGGTATTTAGCGGCAGCACGGTCGACTCGGGCCTAGTCTCGAGGCCTATTATATTAGCCTAGTAAATAAGTAGTGCTATCACAATTAAAGCACTTGTATCTAGTTAGGGCACCGCTAGGTCCGCTCGAATTAGTACTAGAATTAGATAAACGATTAGGGGTATATAGAAATAAGCCCCTTCCTTATCCTCTTCCTCGCTAGGGGTTTCTACCGCAGTATCGGCCCCTGCCTCTTCTACGTTAGTCGTTACTGTTTCCATTATTAGTAGTGTTAGTTTAGGGAGTACCTCCTTGGTTTCTACCGCGGCTACAGTTAGCAGATAGTCGTATCTTAGATTCCAACCGTTGCTATAGCTATACTATACGCTCTATAGTCTCTACTTTAACTATAAATTGAATGCGTATAAGATTAGCCTGTTCGAACACACGGCGGCGGTCTAATTTAAGGACTAGTTCCTACCTTAGTTTAGGTCGTATCTCAGATATCTAGATAGAGTCGGTCTTAGGTAGCAAATCGTCCTTAAGGGTCTTTAGATAGGCCTCGAAGGATCGAGAGGTTTAGTCGGCCTTTTGCTTAGCACGTAGGTATTAGTCTTAGGCGTGCTACTAGCGCAATATAGGGTTGCTAAGGGTGTTTAGCATAATAGTCTTGTAATCCTGCTATTAAATAGCGGTCTAGTCGTAAAGGGAATCAAAATAGTTATCCTATATACGCTTAGGGTCGCTATTAATATACTATATAGCGTGTACGACTAAGGAATAGTCGTCTAGTAGCGCTCTTAGTGCGTTGCGCTAGTTAAGCTTACAGTTACGAATGTAGTCGTTGTACTGCTTTCGGCTAGAGCTATTAAATACGGTATAGTCCTTAAGTTTAGCATCCTTCTTCTAGACTAGGACTAATAGTAAGGAAGGCCCTGCTATCGGCTTAGTATTAGTTGTTAGGGCCTCCTAAAGGCGGCGAATTTCGAGGAGGTTGTCCTTTAGCTATTGTTCTTAACGTAGAGTAGCGAGCCTGTTTTAGGTAGCTTCTTAAAGTCTCGCTACTAGCTAGGGGCTAAAGGCTAGTTAGCTATATCGTCGATTAATAATGTTGTTAAGAATGTCGTTAATAGGCAATTCTAGATCGTCGCCTAGAACTATAGGTTCTTCGGCAGGCCTAGTAGTAGGCTCTTTAGTAGGTACTTTAGTAGGTGCTTTAGTAGGCACTTTAGTAGGTACTGTACTACTAGCGTTGTTATTGCTAGCGCTGCTAGCGGCAGCACGGTTGTTGTTGCTTCGTAATAAACCGGCTATCGTAATAAGGGGTAGCACTAATAATATATTATAGCCCCTTATAGTGCGGATATAGCGGAATTAGCGAGTATCGGCCTAATGTACTTAACTTAGTATAATAGGCCGTATAGAAGGCCTTGCTTAATAATTGGTACGGTTGTTTTAGTAGAATGGTACGTATAGGTCCCGTTCTTCGGGCGTAATATAGTTAAATCGATAGTTTTTCGTAGCTATACCGCTAAAAGCTTAAAATAAGGACTATCTAGCTGCTGCCCTTAAAGGGTAGATCGAATACTATATAAGAAGGGTTATGTCAGCAGGTAGATAGGGTGGTAGTAGGTATAGGTAGTATTCGATAGAGATCTAAGAGGAGAGGGAGGAAGGCAGGCTAGTTGGCCTAACGCCAAGCGCCAAGCCCTGCCTGAGGCACTGAGACCCTGGCTTCACTCGGCCTGATTACATGCCAATCACAGGTAGCCTCTTTGGCTCTGACATACATTGTATATACTATATACTAGATAGTGGGCTCCATCACTATAGTAAAGGGAACAAGGCGTTCACCGCTATTGCTTCACGAATAATCGATATAGCATGCCGTAGCTTGGGCAGCAATGGGGCGTTGCTACGAGGCCCCTGAACCAGACTGATCCGAACGTCACCCAATCACAACAGTAAACCAGACTTTGATTTCGGCTCTCGGCGGCAAAGCGTTGTGATTAGAAGCTGACGCACGCCGGCCCTCGCCCTATATAAACCCCTTCCCTTCCTCGCAACGATCGGCTTTCTTTTCTTCTTTTTCTCTTCATACTTGTAAGCATTCCCCATTTCTACCCCTACGCTTTGACAACACTTTACTAACTTCTTGACAGACCTTGTTGAACCGTGCCCGCTCACGAATGGGCTTCGGTCTAGACAGGAGTCTGCATTGCACACTGCGGTACTCCAATCTAGTGCTTCTCCTTCGGGGGCAGCATCGGCGCAATTTTTGCTGGCTTCCTGTTGGCATCGCCATCAGACACTTTTCATCAGTTCCTTCGCGTGCCGCGATGGGTTGGAGAAGAGTAATCATCATTCGTCTCAGCAAGGCCTCGACTTCATTTGGTTTGGTGCAGTATTCCTTTGACCAGGCCTTCAGCAACAGAGCCTTCGCTTTCGTAAATGAACTGCTGATGCGTGGAGGATCTGGAGATGGCGGAAATCGATTGTCGATGATTGAGCTCGCGGCAAAGACACGTTGCAAAGAGACGACAACACGATATCTCATCAAGATTTTGAACACGAGGTATCCGAGGCCCTAAGCTCATCAACTCGAAGTCTCAAAGCGCACTGCTGCGTGCGCGCGGTGCTGATGGATATGTTCTCGCGTCGCCGCTGCGGTGTGGTCGCGATGGGGTACGTTTTTCGCCGTGAGTGGGATAGCCGGCGAGCGACGTTGAACCCAGACATGACATGGCACGACCAATCCGCTGTATCAACGCCACAAGGACTGCAGATAATGTTCAATGATGATATCGAAATGTGATTCTTTGATGCCCGTCGTCTTTGGCTGCCGCTGCGATGGTGGGAGGCCTGCCAAGTCCCAAGCTTGTCGCCAGCCTGCCGTTGTATCAGCGGAGCTCCCAGTCGAGTGCGTAACCATAATACAATCCCAGTAGATACATATGCAAGAGACACTTGTATGCTAGGCTTGCGACCAAGACCAACATTGAGAGCTCGCCCGTCGCTACTCGAGCTTATACATGCCTCTGAGCAGTCGAGAGACCCGTCTAAAGCTGCTTCGCTAAGCAGCAGCAACGGCGACGCTCCACCCGAAAACGCTACTACATCTACATCTACCTCTATCGCCCCCGCCGCACTGCGCCCGACAACACCGCCAGCGGTAGACGTCGCACTCCCTCCGTCTCCCGAATATCAGAAATCTCCGCCGCCGCGGCCGCCGCAGCTTATTGTCGAAGAGCAGGCAGAAGCTGGTGCACCGGCCATTGAAACAGAAGAGCTCCAGGACCCAGAACAAGAAGCTCAGCATACACACAAAACCGCCAAGATGAGCAAGAAGAACCAACAGCAGGAAGAGGAGCTCAACGATGGCTCCATCTTCTCCATCTCCGGACCTGTCGTTGTCGCGCAAAACATGACGGGTGTGGCCATGTACGAGCTCGTCAAGGTCGGCTTCGACCAGCTCGTCGGTGAAGTCATTCGCATCGACGCCGACAAGGCCACGATCCAGGTCTACGAGGAGACTGCCGGTGTCACAGTCGGCGATCCAGTCAAGCGCACCGGGAAGCCATTGTCGGTAGAGCTTGGTCCTGGTATGATGGAGACCATCTATGACGGTATTCAGAGACCGCTCAAGAGTATCAGTGAGGCGGCCAACAGCATCTACATTCCAAGAGGTATTGATGTGCCTGCTCTGGACAGAAAGAGGAAATGGGACTTCACACCAAGCGACAAGTTCAAGGAGGGTGATCACATTACTGGTGGCGATGTCTTTGGTACTGTTGTTGAGAACTCTCTCCTCAGTGACCACAAGATCATGCTGCCACCGCGCGCGAGAGGAAAGATCACAAAGTACCCCAAGAAGGGCAGCTACACTGTCGACACGACACTGCTTGAAGTCGAGTTTGAGGGCCAGAAGTTCGAGTACAGCATGATGCAGCAGTGGCCTGTTCGTGTACCACGTCCTTGCACGGACAAGCTCAGCTCCGGCGACCCATTCATTGTCGGTCAGCGTGTGCTCGATGCTCTCTTCCCTAGTGTTCAGGGCGGCACTGTCTGCATTCCTGGCGCTTTCGGCTGCGGCAAGACTGTCATTTCGCAATCTGTCTCCAAGTTCTCGAACTCTGATTTGATTGTCTACGTTGGGTAAGAAATCGCATCGAGCCTTACTTTGAAGTCTTCGCTAATATCTTGAAGCTGTGGAGAGAGAGGAAATGAGATGGCTGAAGTGTTGATGGACTTCCCAGAGGTATGTCGGCCTACAAGAGTGCTGTCATACTCCCTGCTAACACAGTCACCAGCTCACAATCGAGTTCGATGGCCGCGACGAGCCTATCATGAAGCGTACTTGCTTGATCGCCAACACATCCAACATGCCTGTGGCTGCGCGTGAAGCCTCCATCTATACTGGGTGAGTATCGCTTACACATCACAACATTTTCTCATAACACTACACACCACATCTACTGACTTTTGTCGAAGAATTACTTGCGCCGAGTATTTTCGTGATCAAGGCAAGAATGTAGCCATGATGGCTGACTCCACCTCTCGTTGGGCTGAGGCTCTTCGTGAGATTTCTGGTCGTCTCGGAGAAATGCCCGCAGACCAAGGTTTCCCAGCTTACCTTGGAGCCAAGCTCGCCTCTTTTTACGAACGTGCCGGTAAAGTCATCTCGCTCGGCTCCCCAGACCGCAGCGGCAGTATCTCGATTGTCGGCGCTGTCTCTCCGCCAGGGGGTGACTTCTCCGACCCTGTCACTACCTCGACCCTTGGTATTGTACAGGTCTTCTGGGGTCTCGACAAGAAGTTGGCTCAGCGAAAGCATTTCCCATCGATCAACACCTCGCAATCATATTCCAAGTACACAGCAGCCCTGCAGAAGTACTACTCCGAATACAACCCAGATTTCCCACGATACCGAGAACGTATCCGAGAACTGCTGTCTACCTCAGAAGATCTCGACCAGGTCGTGCAGCTTGTTGGCAAGTCTGCGCTCGGTGATGGCGACAAGATTACCTTGGATGTTGCTACTTTGATCAAGGAAGACTTCCTGCAGCAAAATGGTTACTCGGACTACGACCAGTTCTGTCCTCTCTGGAAGACGGCCTGGATGATGAAGAACATGATGACATTCCACGACGAAGCCCAGAAGGCGATATCGCAAGGGCATGCATGGAGCAAGGTTCGGGAGTCGACTTCTGATATCCAGAGTGAGCTCAGAAGCATGAAGTTCGAGCTCCCGAAAGAGGGCGAGGAGAAGATCAGCAAGAAGTACGAGGAGCTCTTGCAGAAGATGCAAGAGAAGTTTGCGAGTGTGACGGATGAGTAGAGGCATGTTTGGCACAGAGCGGGGAGTGAGCTTTTGTGTAGATATGGCATGTCTAGGCTAGGCAGATAGGGCATTAACGGCTGTTCCAGTAGAATATGAAGAGCCTCGATTGTCCTGCGTCGTCGTCATTGCCTGAAGGCCGACCCTTGGTCAGCTCGTGCGATTGATGTCCGTCTTTCCGAAATGCTCGGTTTTTCTCAGATTCATCGCCATGCCATCTCTCGTTGAGCTGTGTGGCGTGTGCTCAAGCAAGCGAACAGCCACATGCTGGTCTCGGCGCGGCGCGCATGACCCTTGCTGGGATGCTGCGTCGTCACTTTGGGCACTTGGACACTTTGTCGCAGAAGGCTCCAACATAAACAATATTCCGCCCATTTCCTCCCTACCCATACCACGCCACGCCACGCCACTCTTCCCTCCCTACCTATCTACCTTACAGACACCCTACGATAGCCTTCAAAGCCGCAGAATCCGAGCGTCGACAGAGCGAGAGCGAGGCGCGACCGAGCGCTCCCTCCTTCGAAACACCGCCAACTCCGTATATGAACAACGGTCCGCTCTACAACACAATCTAAAAACATGGCGCAAGCGAACCCGAACGCGTGAGCATAGCACATACATCAGCGCGGAAGCAAGCATACTGATATTGATGGAGTAGCATCAACGTGAACGACCCGGGCCTAATCACACTTGTCAACAAGCTTCAGGATGTCTTCACCACGGTCGGAGTATGTGAAAGCAATTTCCCGTAAAGAGGAGAGGGAATACTGATATGCATGCGCGCAGGTACAAAATCCTATCGACTTGCCACAAATTGCAGTAGTAGGATCGCAGTCGAGTGGAAAGAGTTCCGTACTTGAGAACATCGTTGGCAGAGACTTGTACGCCATCCACCAACAACTGTCAATAATCGCATACTGACCGCCGCAGTTTACCTCGAGGAACGGGTATCGTGACACGAAGACCGCTCATTCTCCAGCTCATCAACCGATCATCGGCCTCATCGACCGCGAAACCGCACGAAAATGGCGTACCGAACGGCGAGAAGGCTGAGAGCACAGATAAGGAGGCCAACAGCGAAGAATGGGGAGAGTTTCTGCACATTCCAGGCCAGAAGTTTTTTGATTTCAACAAGATTCGCGACGAGATTGTGAAGGAGACCGAGAGCAAGACTGGTCGAAATGCTGGCATCTCACCCGCACCCATCAACCTTCGAATCTACTCGCCGAACGTCCTCACATTGACCCTCGTCGACTTGCCGGGTCTGACAAAGGTCCCAGTTGGTGACCAGCCAAGAGATATTGAGAGGCAGATCAGGGAGATGGTGCTTAAGCAGATCTCAAAGCCGAATGCCATCATCCTGGCAGTAACAGCAGCGAATACTGATTTGGCAAACTCGGATGGTCTGAAGCTCGCAAGAGAAGTAGATCCCGAGGGACAGCGCACCATTGGTGTGCTTACCAAAGTCGATCTCATGGACGAGGGCACCGATGTTGTTGATATCCTTGCGGGTCGCATCATTCCTCTTCGCTTGGGCTACGTTCCCGTAGTCAACCGGGGACAGCGCGACATCGAGACCAAGAAGGCCATCTCATACGCTCTCGAAAACGAGAAGAACTTTTTCGAGAATCACAAGGCATACCGGAATAAGGCATCATACTGCGGAACACCCTACTTGGCGAGAAAGCTCAACCTGATTTTGATGATGCACATCAAGCAGACTCTGCCCGACATCAAGGCGCGCATTCAAGCATCTTTGCAGAAATACAGCGCCGAACTTCAGACACTGGGAGACAGCATGCTCGGCAACCCTGCGAACATCATTCTGAACATTATCACCGAGTTCTCGAACGAGTACCGAACAGTGCTGGAAGGTCATAGTGCTGAGCTGTCTTCAATCGAGCTTTCGGGCGGTGCCCGTATTGCGTTCGTGTATCACGAGCTATACAGCAATGGCGTCAAGGCTGTGGATCCCTTCGATCAGGTCAAGGACATCGACATCCGAACGATCCTCTACAACTCCTCAGGTTCATCCCCGGCACTTTTCGTCGGAACAACTGCTTTCGAGCTCATCGTCAAGCAACAGATCAAGCGCCTCGAAGATCCTTCACTCAAGTGTGTCAGCCTCATCTACGACGAGCTGATCCGGATATTGGGCCAGCTGGTTAACAAGCCGATGTTCCGACGATATCCGGCACTGAAGGAGAAACTTCACGCTGTTGTTGTTGGCTTCTTTAAGAAGGCCATGGATCCGACTAACAAGCTAGTGAGGGACCTTGTTGCTATGGAGGCCTGCTATGTCAATACTGGCCACCCAGACTTCATCAATGGACATCGTGCGATGGCGATCGTTAATGAGAAGCACAACGCAGCGAAGCCTGTTCAAGTCGACCCTAAGACTGGAAAGCCACTTCCACCTAGCGCTCAGCCGCCGAGAGCTGCGACGCCAAGCCTGGATCTGGATGGTGAACAGTCTGGCTTCTTTGGGTCCTTCTTTGCTAGCAAGAACAAGAAGAAGATGGCTGCTATGGAGCCGCCGCCACCTACGCTCAAAGCATCGGGTAAGTAAAATCGACCCCACTGGCTGGCTCTGGCGAGGAGCAGTCTAGTCTCAAGCTCTCGTCGCGGAGCGGCTTCCGTTCTACCCCAGTCGCTAACACTTGAGCAGGTACGCTCTCGGAAAAGGAAGCCCAAGAGGTTGAGGTCATCAAGCTTTTGATTACCAGCTACTTCAATATCGTGAGGCGGACTATGATCGACATGGTGCCCAAAGCCATTATGTTGAATCTCGTCGAGTGAGTCATTTGCCTGCAGACTGCGGTGTAGGATGGGGACTAACTAGCGTAGGCACACCAAAGAAGAGATGCAACGAGAGCTGCTCGAGCAGATGTACCGCACACAAGAACTCGACGACCTATTGAAGGAGAGCGACTACACCATCCGAAGGAGAAAGGAGTGTCAGCAGATGGTCGAATCACTCAGCAGAGCAGCCGAGATTGTCAGCCAAGTACAATGAGTGGCTTGAGAGACTGGAATGAAGCAAATCTTCTGTGGCCGGCTGAGAGTTTCCTGGCTCGCTTCCGTCGACAGCATAGGGACTGCGCAAGCCAGCTCGCAATGCAGGTCGCGGACTCCGAGACAAACCGGGGAGCGATAGTCCAAGAAGCGAGAGTCAGTTGCGTTTGGGAGCGAAGAGGTCGGATAGAAGGACAGCTTGGGAAAGCTGGGTGTCATCATGCAAGGCGTCTGTCTTCGATATCCCTCAATGAGTTTATAGCTGCTTTACAGATGAAACAATTTACCGAAGGCTTCTGCCAGCATTGTCGAGGCTATGGTTATCACTCAAATCCAAGCATCCCACTCAGACCTACCCTCTAAAAACCCACGTCTCCCTCCCCCCTTCCCTCCTAAACGCCTCATCACATTTTTCTTCCTCTACACTCGCCTTCCCAAACCCACACCTCTCAAGACACCTCACACTCGCCTCATCCTCCACATTCACTCTCGCAAACAACGTCTGTCCACCATAACGTTCCGATTTCAAATAGCATGCACAAAACCCTTTACACGCCTCCGACGCATACCCCTTCCCCCAAAACTTGGGATGTAGAGAGAAACCTATTTCTCGTGGACGAAAGGTTCCGATTAGACCTGTCAATTCTGTCTCGGTGGAAAGTGGGGTGGTGAGGAGGGAGGAGAGGAGGGAGGGAGGGGGAGGGGCCTTGTTTTCTGTTTGGTCTTGGGTTAGTAAGGGTGAGGTGAGGTGAGGATACGAGGGGGTTGGATTGCAGGGTGTGGAAGGCTTGGAGGTCGGAGGGTGAGAGGGGGCGGGGGGTTAGGCGGGGGGTTTTGATTTCCGATGGTGAGTAAGATGGCTTTTGGTTTGATGTTTGTATTCGTCAGCAGCATGGATGTCCTTATATAAATACCCATTTGGAGTAGTAGGTAGGCAAGAGATATGTGATCGAGCACACATTTGGGAGGAAAGATAGATTTTTCCAAAAAAAAAAGTTCTGGGTTCTGTAGTGTAGCCACCAAATTACTCTGCTAAGAAGAAGACTGGCAAAAGTTTTTCGATGCCACTTCCGTCGTCCCTCTCACACGCTCCAAGGCCTATCGCTTCGAGTTATCGCCTCTATCACCCTCAAGCCTTGCGGCAATGCTCGAGATAAGCTCAGTTTGGGCGAATTATTGATTTGTGCTGCTCGTCAGGTGAGGCGTGGACACCATTACCGACGCTGAAGACGCCACCTGGATTGGTGATGACAGTGCCTCGGATGTCGTCCCAGGTCAGAGGCTTGTCCTTCCACTCAGCAATGTTGATCGTACCATTGGGAAGAACGAGAGTGCTGTTATTGAACTCCTCCCAGGTTAGAGGCTTGCCATTGGGGAATTCCGCCAAGGACCAGACACGATCTGGCGTAATGAGTCGAAAGTCATTCAATTCCGGGAGGTGATGACCCCAAGTATCGAATTCAATGACACCACGGTGAGTGATGAGCCTGCTGTGAATAATGTCGTGCCAGGTCAACGGCTTGTCGGGTATAGTATTCGACTTTTCCATCTCCGATTTTGGAATGCCGACGTAACTAGCGATTGCAGAGTTGTCGAGTCTGATCGATGTCGTTGAAGCTTGCTCGGTCGTATTGGTAATAGGTATGTTGACCGGGGGTACGTCAATGGTAATGAAGTCGGGAACTGTTGGTACTGTCGTTTCGGTGATCCCGCTCTCTACTGACATGCTTGTCGTGATTAAGGCCGTCGGAGCTGCTGCGTCGCTTCTTGAGCTTGTCGTGGCGATAGCAACTGGATGGGCTGCAGGAACGAATGTCGTCACCAAGCCGTACGATTCGCAGACTGCGGTCTCGTACTCAGAGTAGACCTGACCGCTTACGAGGCAGCCCATGGTGGTAATAGGCGTGAGCGACGCTGGCATTGCCGTGACTGGGCTGGGTGTCTGGGCACCTGCCGGGGTTGGAATGATGGGCATTTTGTTATTGTGTCGCTCGAGATTTGTGATATTGGCGATTAGACTTGTATCTCTTAGAGATCTCTTGAAGTTCTTTAGTTCTTTTTCGATATGGGAAGAACTCCAGGTAAATTATATAGGCATTTCCAATCATCATGCCAAGGATGAGGACAAACTCGATTTCATTGGAAAACAAGCAGAGCAAAAGGCTCAGCTTTACAAGCTCTGTTGTTAGCTCCCAAGTACACGGATAGAAGATATCATTCAGTTTTAGAGCTTTCGGGTCATTCTGTAGAGCATCTGCTGTGAGTGTCCATAACAAATCTTCCATCTTCGTTTCACATTAGCTGCAGTGGCGCTGCTGGACTGTGAATACGGCTATCGTGACTCGGGGGGACTCAAACATCTCTTCGTACGATTAATATGACCGTAACAAGCTCAAAGTACTCTGTCGAGGCCATCGAGGCTGGTGCGTTTGATGATCTCGTTGAGAAGGAGAGAGTGGAGTGTCGGTGTGAATCCATACGGCAGGAGACAGATTAAGTTCTAATTAAGGTTTGCGCTAGTAGGGATGCTACCGAACGATGTGGAGAAGCGACGGTCGACCTTTACAACAGTATATTCTATGGATCCGACAGCAACTCCACAAATGAGCCAAACATAACCAATCGATCATGTCAACGCCAGCTGCAGATGTTGCGGCACAAGCACAGCGTATCAACAAGGATAAGAAAGAAGCAATCATCAAGCTTGCACAAGAAAGCCGGAAGTCCAGCAAGATACCCGATCCGGCTATCGAGCCATGGAAGTCACTTCACCGTCAACTTGATAATTTGCTTTCATGGCTCGAGACGGAGATCAAGATGACTCCGGAACTAAAGAAGGCTGGTCAGGTCGGCGAAATTCTGAAATTGGTATACCAGAATCGCAACTTCCACTTCCAGCCCTCACAAGCTGAGAGCGCTCGGGCTCTCCATGATCGATTTGAATCTGAGCGATGGGGAGCACCAGCACCAGCACCAGTTCAACTGCCTACGCCTCCGTCAGGCATAAAGCGAGAACACAGCGACGATAGCGATGTCGAGGAAGCCACAATCAAGAAGCGAGGAAAATCTTCGCCCACAAAGAACTCCTCAGACGACAAATTCCTTATCAAGCGACCGCCACCAGACCATCCAATCTGGGGCAGACATGGCACCATGCACGGTCTGGCTCTGAAGAAGAACCTAACTACTGGAAAGGAGAGTAAGATACTCAATGATGAGTATCAAGCCAAGGACTGCAGTAAATTCGGCGACAATGGCCTTCAGGTTGGGCAGTGGTTTCCCTACCGACTTTCAGCGCTCTTCCATGGCGCGCATGGTCACTCTCAGGCTGGGATACATGGTAAGTCAGAACGACTATTCATTTTCAGGCACACCATTGAATTGCG